TGGAAGAGTGCGAAATCCTCGCGCAGAACGGTGTTTTCGAAGTGAGGGAGAAACAGCACTGAAGGAGAGGGGCAGGCAACAAGACATAAAAAACAGCAAAAAACAGCCCGGAAAGTGAACCCGCTAGGGGGTTTAGGGTTCAGGGTTTCAGGATAAGTCTCCCGGAGCTGGGGTTTGGGGTACATAACGCTTGCAGTAGCCCTGATAGTATCCCTCCTGGAAGCCCCTTTAGAGCCCTAAAAAACCCCTCTCAAAGCCTCTAAACACCCCCGACAGAGCCTTAAAGCCGCCGAAGGCTTTAGTCTCCTTGGCCAGGTTCCTTTCGTGTGCGGCTGCCGCAACCTTGGCGAGGCCTTGCGCCGCGTCGCCGAGGGAGCCAGCATGATCCGCACGAAGGGCGAGGCCCAAGCCGACAAAAAAACCAAGAAATGCTAAACCCCTAAACCTAAATCCTTTTAGACGGATGGGGGTTTCTCCGGCTTGGTGGGTTTGTCCGTTTGCGCGAGCTTGGGCAGGGGCCGAGCCCCCCAACGTGTGCCGCAGTTTCTGTGCCGGTCGTGACCTTGAACTGGTTCAGGGCTCTTTCGGACAAGGGGCACTTCGCCCTATTTTTCTTATTTTGCGTTGAGCTCCTTGGCTCCGGGTCCCCAAAAAAACAGAAAGCGGCCCGTTCAGCAATAGAGGAGGCGACAAGAAACCCCTATCACACCAAGGTGTCTTGGCGAAAACACCCCTCCAAGCTGCCTACAAGCCTAATATAGAGGCTTCAATAATTGGAATAGGGTTTGGGGGTATCTTATACCATAATTACAAGAAGGAACCCCCAAAACCCTATTCTAATTATTAAGGCCCCTACATTAGACCCCGGAGCCCTCCAACCTTCGAAGATTCTAGACATGGCGAGGCTCGAGCCTAGCAGCCACCCGCCTAAAACCCACAAAGAGCACAGACAAACCCTAAACTCAACTTCAAATCCCGAGGCCCGAAAACCTACCCACTCAACCCCGCTTTCCCCAAGACTCAGGCCCCCCTTCTATCTTATCTGATCTGACTTTGTCTGATCTTCTCTTATCTTGCTTGATTTTATCCTGCGACCGACCGACCCACCGACCTACGTGCTTGCTACCGACCGACCGACCGACCTACCGACCTACCGACCTACCTACCCATCCATCTATCTACTTGCTGGTCCATCCAGCAAATTGCTCTTTCTGTCAATCGGCCTATGTATGGGCTGGCATGGTATGGTATGTATGTAACTGTATGTATGTATCTATCTCGTCCATCCATCCAATCATCCATCCACCCATTCATCCATCCATCCGCCCAGCCAGCCAGCCATCCATCCATCCAAACTTACACTCTAACCTAGTCTAGTCTAGTCTAGTCCAGTTTAGTCGTCTAGTAAAATCTAATCTAATCGAATCCAAACCTCATCTGATCTAACCCAGTCTAGTCTTGTCTAGTCTACATAATCCAACGTAACCTAGCCTAATCTTGCGTCATCCACTCTAATCTATATAATCTAATCTATCTGGTCTATGTATCTACTTATCTATCTACCGATCGGTTTTCCTCTCGCGCCCAAAAGGCCGGCACCGGCGATGTCGTCGAGGCTGTGAGGCACATCCGAACGCTGCACAAGGAGATGCGAATGGTGCAGATGATGGACGAGGCCAGGGTTTTTTGGGCACAAGGTTTGCAGCTTTTTTCCAGATTTTTCGGGGTATTCGGATTTTGGTGGTGGGTTTGCGGCTGTGTGGCTTGCTGTGGAACTAAGCTGTGCTGTGGGCATGCCGCTTCCGTCGTAAGCCTCGGCTCAGCACGGGTTCAAAAGAGTTCCATGTGCAGGGTGCGGATGTTGGAGGGTGGCACTGGGATTTCTAGGATGCTGGTGTGATTGGAAGCTCAATATTCTAAGGCTTGCCGGGCTTCGAGGTTTTGGGGTCTCAGCTTTTTGTCTCTGGAATTCAGGGTTTCCCAGGGCCTAGGGTGGATGTTCCAGGGACTGTGGTTTGAGGCTCCTCGGGAATGGGGCGTTTGAGGCTCTGAGGGTCTTTAGAGATGTGCAGATCCCTCACTAGGGAGCCCGGTTTTGGACCCCATGCTCGACAAGATTCTACCCCGAGCCTGAACCCTAGAGTATTATTCGCCTGGCCCCCAAAACCCAGGACTAACAACCAGCTTTCTTTCTGGAGTACCCTGCAATGCAGGCCGCGTCCTTGCTAGGTGGGAGGAAAGCCCTGAACCGAACTTGAACGTCATGGCAGGACGAGCTCTTCACCTACGCCAAGGAGATCGGGGCACCCATTGACCTTGTACCCCGGAAGCTTATTTTACCGAAGGCATGTCTTCTCTGGGTGGTAGGGGTTTGAAAATGAGGGCGTCAGGGGTCAGGAAGAACCAAGTGCAGAAGGTTCAGGGTTCAGAGTCCTGTGACGTCTGGGACCTCAGTCGTAGGCGGCTGAAAGAATGGGAGGTGGGTGCTGTATTAAGTTTTGGTCCGCTGGCGCAGTAACAGAGACCCTGCGTGGCAAACGTGGCTCTTGCAAACGTTATAGGCCCGCAAGAAACTCTGAGGTGCAGCACGTCAAGAAGACTGGTAAGCTCCCCGTGGTGAACTTCGCAGCCGGGGGCGTCGCCACACCGGCCGACGCAGCTCTGTGCATGCAGCTGGGGGTGGACGGCGTCTTCGTGGGCAGCGGCACCCTGGTTGCTTGTTGGACTTTCTGCCCATGCCAACGCAGCCTCAGTTGTAACGCGTGGAAGGCCGAAACGCTTGAGCTATCTGCCCTTCTTTCACGAAGTGGCGCATGAAAGACGTCACAATCCAGAATGTGTTCGAGCAAGCCCCCCGAAAGTCATTGACGCATCTTTAAACCCTATGTCCGTGGTGGGTCAAGCCGCCGAATCTCAAGCAGCAAGCCCCCACATCACCTAAAGTTAGCAGCTAGCCAGAACTCAAAAGGGCCTATGCACCGCCATGAACCGTGTCAAACTCCAAACCCAATTCCGAAACCTCTCCGAGCAAGTTAGCGCGAAGCCGGAGCTCCTGACTCGCTGCCATGCCGCGGGCCGTTGCTTCTGCTGTCTCTCGAAGCTGCCGAGGGGTTTGCATCGTCAGTTTGATCATCTGCGTGCTGTTGAACCACCTTGCTGGCCACCTTGCATTCGCGGCTCCTGTGGGCCGTCGGGTGCTCTTCCGCCTGACACGGTGCAAAGAGCAGCTGCCGTCGACGATCGACGTCTCTGCAGTCCGCAGAAAGTTTATACGTCTAGGCATGGACGGCTTCCTCGGAGAGTCCGAGGAGCAGCGGGCTGCCCGAAGAGAACGCAGGCATTCCTTTGAGGAGGTCGGGGAGTTCGACTTCCTCTTCAAAGAGAATGACAAGGATTGGGAGCAGTCGGATCAGACGGAGGAGGATCGCGGCCTCTTTGCGATGCATGAAGAGGCCTTGGTGCAAGCCATGGAGGATGGCACCATCTTCTGGCGCCCGCGCATCAATGGGGACCTGTCCTTCAAAAGGCTGAGGGACGAGCCAGATCCCGAGAAGATTGAGCGTTGGGCCCGTCAGCAAGCCAAGGAGGGACGAAAGAGGAGGGGCAAACGGCGTTATGGCAACCTCGGCAAGAAGCGGTAGTCGTAGTTGCTGCTGAGCCGGGCTTGTGGACCTGAGGGAAAAAGGTACTCTGCTGTGTTGGATTCGGAATTGGGCCCCGGGCCGCGTCAGTTCTCAGTTCTCGGGCTAGTTGCGTAATCCAGAGTTTGCTCGGTACGAGTGTTTAATGCAGGAGGTACGGCTGTCAGCTTCCACTGCTAGTGATGTTCTTCTGTCAGACAACATCGCCTCATGTGTCACAGTTGCAAACTTCGAAGACCCTGAGAATTCATCTGGCTTGCCTAAGGTGCCTTCTCATATTTGGGTTTGGGCTGGGCTTACTAGTATCAGGCTTGGTTTGTAATGGAGCCTTTCTCGCAATCGCAATTGGTTTAGTTCTTCGCGCTGTTGAAGCCTTAAAGCTTGCCTACCTTATGCAAGTGTGACCCTCAACCCTAAACTGGCCCGAAACGCAACGCCCTAAACCCTACAGCTAGGGCCTAGGGGGGAGGCCAAAAAAGACCCTAAACCCCAGTGACAAACCGCCTGAGGCATCTTCAAGTCCGAAGATCCTGCGAAGCGCGCCAAAGCGATCGTGAAGGCCGTGACGCACTTCAACGACCCACAGGTGGATTGGTTCTGGGTGCAGGGTTTCAGAAAGGCTTCTAGAACTCTAGAGGGCTCTACTAAGGTTCTACAACGGTTTTATAGGTTGTTAGGTGTAGCGTTCCATGCGGTTCTGTATGGGTTCAACTTTCAGGGGCTTTGAGGAGAGGGCTCTACGGTTCATGGCGTCAGGGTTTCAAAAACCAGAGTTGTGGATAAAGGGGTGTAGGGTTTGCGTTTTTGGCCTTGGCTTGCGACGAAGCTTGCAGGGCGCAGGTCGTGGCGGTCCGGCAAGGTGTGTATGTATGCATGCGTCAGGTTGTGGTATACACATATGTTTAGCAGAATATGTTTGGGTGTGATTATGTATATGGGTGGCTGTCAAACTTAGGGTCTCTTTCAAACTGCAGTGTTCCCTATTAAGAGTAGAAATATATGGGGTTGGGCAAGGGGACCGGGATATATATATATATGTATGTGTGTATGTATGTATGTATGTATGTATGTATGTATGTATGTATGTATGTATGTGTGTATATGTATATGTATATGTATATGCTGGTATAAACGTATATGTGTGCATGTGCATGCGTGTATGCGCGTATCTGTATGTGTGTCTGTGTATGTCTGTGTGTGCAGGTGCATACGTATGTATAGGTATAGGTATGTAAGTAAGTAAGGTAGTGAGTAAGTAAGTACGTAAGTACGTAAGTACGTAATTAAGAAAGTGAGTAAGTAAGTAAGTAAGTAAGTAAGTAAGTAGATAAGTAGATAAGTAAGTGAGTAAGTAAGCGGCTCAAGCTGTCAATCAAGCTTCTGGTGGGCCGTTGAGTTGGCTTAGCAGCTCCCTGATTCTGTAGTTTTGGAGTCTGCCTGAACCTCGGTGGTTCCGAGAGCGAGTTCCGAAACGTCGAGAGAGCCTTGCGTCGGCCAGGTCATCGCAGAGGTTTCCGAGGACATCGGCGAAGCCATGACCGGCCACTTTGGCTTGCAGCTTTGGGCTTGAGGGTTTTTGGGGCTTCAGGCGCTTTACAGGGTTTCGGCTTGGAGTTCCAAAGTTCCTTTCGCGTAGGGTATGTCTGGGAGTCCAGATTCATGAAAGGTTGAGGAGCCTAGGCACAGTGAACACCAGCCATAGTCTTTTAGACTCTAACAAAGCAACGGGACACGACAAATCAAAACTGAAGTAGGGTCCAGAGTTGTTTAGGCCAGTAGTAGTAGTCGTCGTCGTCGTCGTAGTCGTAGTCGTAGTCGTAGTAGTCGTAGTCGTAGTCGTAGTCGTAGTCGCAGTCGTGGTCGTAGTCGTAGTCGTAGTCGTAGTCGTAGTAGTGGTAGTAGCAGCAGCAGCAGCAGCAGCAGCAGCAGTAGTAGTAGTAGTAGAGCAGCAGCAGGAGGAGGAGTAGTAGCAGCAGCAGGAGTAGTAGTAGTAGTAGTAGTAGTAGCAGCAGCAGCAGCAGGAGGAGGAGTAGTAGCAGCAGCAGGAGGAGGAGGAGTAGTAGTAGCAGCAGCAGCAGAAATAATAATCGTAATCATAATCAAACTAACTGGTGTTATCATCATTACTTCTTGTTGTTGTTATTTTAAACGCCTCGCGTCGTC